TAGCAATTAAAAAACGTAAAGTTTATTCGTAATCATCCAAAAGAAAGGATTTAGAGAAGATATGCATGTTGACCAAATATGATGGGACAAAATATGTGATGCATTAAAACAAAATTCTACAGACATCCACAAAAATACCTCTAATTGAGAATGAGCTTCAAAAAAATAGCAAATCTTACATATTTATATATTGTATTGCAAGAAAAATTCTGAACCAATCAAATTTATATACCTCACTCTGAATGAAAAGAGCAAGCATTGCCTTTTTAATTTAAATTCTGAACCAATCAATTTTATAAACCTCAGTCTGTATGAAATGAGCAGGCGTTCAAGATCACAAGTGAGTGCTCAAAATAAAAATCATAATGTCACAGATAGCTATCATCAGAGAACAAAATACGTGCCTTCTGTCCTCATGAAATGCATATAAAAATTCAACATCAAAAAACATAAATTTCATACGTCTTCTCCTTTGTTTCCCTGCGTCAAGGTCAGCAGGTACAAGTCCTTTGCCCATTATTGGTGCTAGCATATCTGCAAGAACTCCTTTGTTAAAAAATGAAAATTTAGGTAACTGAATTCAAAATTTTAATCAAGAAATAAGACATGATTAAAATGAAGGATGCTAAATTCTAGAGTGGATGACAGTGCAGCCAAACTAAACATATTCTAGCTATGTGATTGCTTAGCTGATTCTTTTCGAATGATATTTATTTAGAAAGTATTTATTTGTCTTTCAATGTCAAAGAGTTTGGAACACTATTCAACAGGAAAATGTGGCAGAAAACAAATCTTAAAAAGGCCTCATTTCCTTTCATTAGTCCACATCTAAAATCACAGTTGATAATCAATTACAGAATGAGAAAATGAAAATGAAGTCATTCAATGCATACACCTTAACATGAAAATTTAAAGTTTTTTTTTTTTTTTTGGCCGAGGAAATAAGAATTTTTACACATCAAGTTAGCATGTAAAAAAGTAATGGATAACAAATTAACATTACACAGACAATGTACTAACATAATACACTTGTCAAAGGAAAATGCATTTTCTCAAAGAATATGCCTTGCAGTAATAGGATCCGATGCAACAACAAAAGCTTTTGGCCCAAAAGCAAGTTTATACATGGAGCCATGCTGCTACATAAATTAAGATATCAAACAAAAGAAAAAAAAAACAGTAAGAATCGGGATCTGCAGTTCATCAACAATGATAAGCAACAAAGGACTATACCACATGATAAAGGGAAAACAAAACTGAACCACAAGGTTTAATAGCATAATCACTTTTATGATTCAAATATGTGTTACCAACTCAAATTTCTGGAACAGGACAACTAAACATTTAAGACTTGGAACTTTCAATCACAGTCTCAAGTCCAAATCTTGGAAAAGGGTTTTAAGTGATGGTAGAAGTCACCTTTGTAGTCCAAGTCCAATACACTTTCACGTGTACCAAAAAAAAAAAAGGGGTATTGGTAACTCCTAAAGTTCAATTGAGCCTCTACCCACTATCTATCACCTAAAATGGTAGAAGTTGCATGGGGCAGATGTGGTCAAAGTATCATAAACTCAAGACAGATCAGTAGCATCCACATTAAAAATTTGCAACAAAAGAGAAAGATAGTAGTTAAGTGCCTCTAAAAACCAATTACACAAAGAGAAGAAGGGAGGTCGACCAAACAAATAAGAAACAGCACCTTCAGCTACACGCATAGAACTAAGACTTTCCCCACTTAGGAAATTGGTAAGAAGGTTGCTTGCATTACCCAAAAGATTCCTTTTAGCTTTTGGTTCGTCGGTATCTGAGGATTGACATCTGCGAAAGTTTACCATAAATACAATCAATAAAACAAATCCTAAACCAACCCATTTTTACTCCAAACTTCACTTACATGAAAATGTTAAAAAAAAAGAGTTCCCACTTCCCACTTTCCAGTTACCTGATGGCAGCAGAGGATTTTAGTTTTGGTTTGGGAAATGAAGGAGGTTTGAGACACCCATAAAAGTGAAATCACTGGTTTGGAAACTGCCATAAACTGCAGTTGAGGAGAGCTGAAGGGATGAAGCGTTTGCAGTTACAGCTACTACTGCTGCTTCCATTGCAAATAGGCAACTTTTGTTGGGTTTTGGTTCGTGTCAGTGGAGAAGTTGAGATTGGTGGGATGTGCCTAACATCTTCCACCATCACTACTCACTGGTACTAAAAAAATGTGAGAAAGTACTAAAAGATAACGCACACCGTCCCACTCTGCGTGCTATCAGCTATCTGACTGATGACATCGGTGACCCACCCAGGCACCATCTGTGGAATGTCAACCCGTATTATACCACTTGGACACTAGGCTTAGAAGTGATTATACGTAAAATTGACTTTTAACTTTAATTTAATTGATATTTTTAAAATAATTTAATTTGATTTAATTAATTCATATAAGCATTTTTTAAAAATATTATTTAATAAATTTAATTCAAATTTTAATATATACAACTTAGTTTTTCAATCATCAAACTATGATCTCTTTTAATAAATCAAAATTTATAAGAAAAATAAGAGAATAATGCTAGGTGTGGTAGCAAGAAAAAAAAAATAAAAGATGAAAAAGAAGAAAAATATTAAAATTAAGGGAGACAGAAAAAGAAAAAGAAATTAGGGAAGGTGAATTTTAAAAATGACATAATAAATTATTAAAATAAAAAACTAATAATTAAGTTTTATAACAAAATGATTTTGCTAAAACTTACTTAAACATTTACCTTAATTAATAATTAAGTTTTATAACCTTAAATATTTACCTTAAATATAAACCAAATATTTGGAAAAGAAGTTAAATATATTAAATAGTTATAATTTAACATACTATCAATGTAAATTTTTAATTTCAAGTGGTGTCAAGGAATTGATACATCTTATATTATGTTTTAAATTTTTTTATTTTTTAAATATATCTTAAAAAATATACGTTCACTTTTTTAATTTCTCTTGTAAAATTAAAAATTTTACTGTCTATATATATTTGATAATTTTGTATATTAAAATATAAAAATTTTAATATATTTATGAAAAATCATTACAATATAAGTTAGCAAAATAAAATTTTATGCTTAGATTATTTTGATATTTTAATTAAATGAAAAGTTTATTAAATTTTAAATTTTAATTTTTATCAAGTGGTGAAGACATTTATTAACTTTTTAATTTCTAATGAAATAATATTACTAAAATTGATTAATTTTTTATTAACTTTTCTTTATTTTTTATTTAGAAAATGAGGAATTCGAACCCGGTTCAAAAGATATTGAAATCATCTATCAATAATAATTCAATAAACACCAGTCAATATACGTTTGCCGCAAATTGCGCAAAGAAGATATGAGTGAGAATTGAGAAGAACACATTCTCTAAAAAATGCCGGTCAAAACAACTTAGATATGGCAAAAAAAAAAAAAAAACTTAGGTAACATTGCATTTTACTTAATTTTGTTTTTTTTTTTTTGAAATAATAATTTTGTATATTCTTGATTGTATGATTAGCATCTTTTTCTCAAGCCTGTTTCTCAACCCAAAAATAATAAAAAATGGAAATCAAATTATTCTTCATATTTTTATGCTACATTATGCTGTTTTTTTTTTATATATATTTATAAGTGAACAATATTTTATGAAGAGAATAAAAAAAATTTGTGTTTGCATAAAATATAATTGTATTTAAATTGGTATTACTCCTTTTTGTCCATAAATGTAGTCCTAAATTGATTTTATTTAAATTTAAACCTTTTTAATTGAATTTACTATTGTTAAAATTTGAAAAATAAAATAAAAATTAAAAACTATAATGGTTTTCCCAAATATATATTTATAAAATTTTAATTTAATAAAGACTATTAGAATTTATGGTCATTAAAAAAAATTGATAATAAAATGAAACTACGACAAATATTAATTTATGGGATGGGATATATGGTAGTTTGTAGTCACTTACTCATTTTTAATTGGATGTAATTTTTTTTCTTTATAACTTTAAAAAATTAAAAAAAAAAAAGTAAAATAATAGACCAAAAAATAATATATAAAGTGGATTTCACAAGAAATAATTTTTTTAATTTGAGTTTCTTAAAATGAATATATATCATTAAATCGAATGGTGAAGTACCCAAAGAACAAATTTCGATTTTAAAATTTTAATTTTAACCCATAATTAATTAAAAGGATATAATAATCAGAAAAATTGTTAATTAAACTCGATTTTAAGATTGGGAAAAGTGGCATTGGCATCAAATTGAAGACTTTATAGCTAACATGATTATAAAATTGAAGAGGAAGATTAAAACCCACAATCATCGCAATTGGGAAGCAAAAACATAATGGAAACGTGATAAAAGTTAGCATTGTTATTGCAGAAAAAATGTGTTTAAAAAAAAAGTATGGTAAAAAATTTAAATGTTTAATATTACTGTGAATAATTGAAATATTAAAAAAATACACATAAAATAATAAAATAAATATAACATAATATAATAAATTTTTATCCCAAATATATTTTTTATTGCAAAAACATTATTTAAGACTTAGTTTAGTATTATTGTTGAACGTGATTTGGAGAAAAAATCCATCATATAAACTAAAAAGCCTGAAGGACAGTGAACCCAAAAAATTATTGTTGTGCCTTGATAAATATTATTAATTAGTTTATGGGTTTCAAATTATTCCGATCATCATATATCTTTGTAATTTTATTATTATTATTTTAATTTGTAACATTATAAAAATGAGAAGGATCGAGGATGTTTCTACGGGTTATTACATCTGTGAAAGACTGCAAAGTCATCAATGTCCACCTACCATAAAACAAGTCATTGCTGACGTGGCTATTGCGTGGATGACGTCATCCCGATAAGCAATTGCTGCTTCTTTGAAACAATCTCTTTTGCTCAACTCCTCATCGACTTCCAGAACCCCACATACATCTTGCCAACCATGTAACTTTTTTTTTTTTTTGTTTCTTTTCTTTTCCGCCAAACACCACGTGCTGTTGCTTTCAGGAATCTGACTTTAGCCAAAATCAGTGGCCATGATTTTCCCAATATTCTTCCTTTGACCGCGTTGAAGCCACCATAAATACCCCCTTACGCTCTCTTCTTTCCCTTCTCTTAAAAACAAAAGCTGCTAACTGTTCGTTTCTTTTTACCAGTTCTGTTTGCCCCCCAGGGCATCAGTGAAACCATGTCTAGTCCTACCGATTGGCCACAATTTTACCAACAAAATCTTTCTAATCAGGAAACTGAAGCCACTGCTGTTAGCACTACAATCACCTCCAGCAGCGCACCAAGTCCATTAGGCTCAGGCCCGGCTAGTTCAAGTGGTGGTCATTTGAGTCCCGAAGGCCGCGTTGGGAAGCCAGTTCGAAGACGATCAAGGGCTTCAAGGCGAACCCCTACTACCTTGCTCAACACAGATACTACAAATTTCCGAGCCATGGTTCAACAATTCACTGGTGGTCCTAGTGCACCTTTTGCCCCAGGAGGTCACCCTGGCGGACCAAATTTTGTCTTCAGTTTGGGAGGACGTCAACCCCATGTTAACCCTAGTTCCCTCATGGTTCCTCCTGCTGGATTTCAGCTGCAATATCATCAACAACAACAACAACAGCAGCAGCCTCAGCAACACCATCATTTAATCCAGCACCAAAACCAGCCATACATGTTTTCATTGAACAGCAATAATAATCCAGGGGCAGGGGACCTTTTCCTTCGAAGACTTGGGGGGAACCCTAGGCCAAACACGGAAGCTGGGTCCGAAGGGTTTCTTGTGGAGGGTGCTTCCTCTCAGGTTCCCCCTTCTAGAACAACCTCCTCCAATGAGAACAGGAGTAACTCTACATTCATGTTTTGAGAGGGACATGAAGGAAGAAAGTTAGGTACTGACTTGTATTAGGGACATACATTAAGTCATTGACCAATGTAAATATTTTGTTTCAATTATACCCTTTTTTTTTTTTCTCTTTTTGACGCCAATGGCAATGTTTGTTACTAATACACTCCAACGTTTGTAGCTGGGAGTCTTTTTTTTTTTTTTTTAGTTATTAATTAAAAGAGGTGGGGGATTCTTGTTTCCAAAAACCATGGGCTGACTGTGGGAATTGTTGAAATTTGGATCATCTTTCTAATTTCAACAAAAAAAAATGATATTGCTATAATTTCTTTTATTTTCTTTTTCCTTTGAAAAGAAAATTCAGTATCTTTAATCTGCAATTCAGCTGTGCTTCTACATGTAAGCTTTTGGGTTAGAATACACTTTCTTTAATTAGATTATATACCGAACGGAATAATAATTTTCAAAACCGATGTCACTCAAAAGAAAAAGTGACCAACTTATGCAGAAAAACATAATCTAGAATCCATATATAGATTGAAAAGTCATATTTTTTTTAGATCATCGTTAATTTTAAAATTTTTTATTTGATCAATTACAATATGGAACAAAGATACATGCATATATTATCGTATCAAATATTTTTACATTTTTTTATATGCTATTTAGCTCATAATCTAAAACTTAGATAATGAAATCAATTTTTAAAAATATTATTTAATAAATTTAAATTTTAAATTTCATACAAATAATTTTTTTACCAAAAAAAAAAAATGGAAGGATAAACATTTGAATCCAAAATTGCAGGAATTTAGCGCAAAAATTAAGGCATGCTGGTAAATAGGAGAAATTCTTTCAGCACATTTATAGATGCAAATAAAAAAAAAGAAAATAAAATAGAAAAGATACATTGGAATTCAAAAATGATAGAAAAAGACAAATGGTTGGAAAGAGGGGGTGAATCTGAGGTGTAATGGGACCCAATTGGCATCAAAATCAGAAAATGGAATTCACAAAGTCAAATTTAGGCTGATCATCTTTGCAATTTTGAAATTAAAACAAGAGGGCTATGCTAAGCATATTTCTTACTATTATTATTATAATGTAATTATTTAAATTTTAAAATTATGTAAAATTTTTTAAAATTTTGTTAAAATTTTATATTTTACAAATGATAAATTTTTACATAATTTTTTATTATGATTAAATAGATATAAATTTATAATAAAAATAATTATATGTAAAATATTGTCAACTTATTCTGTAATATTACATCAATATTTAATAGGAAAAACGTGCACCTTAATTTCAACATTATTACAGCGATTAGATCATGTCATGCACGTCAATTTGTGTATAGAAAATTAGAATATGCTCCGTGGGCCGCTTGTTCAAAGATTGGTTGATCATCTTTCACCATCTGATGTTAATAATTTTAGTAATTATATAAACTTGAACTTGATTAATCAAAACCAATCCTTGTTAGTATTAAAATTTTTTTTATTAATTTAATTAATAAAATATATTTTTGTTTGAATTTAATTTTAAAATATAGTAAAGTTATTAATATATTAATATAAAAATAATTTTAAAAAAATAGATTTTTTAAATTAAAAAGAAAATCAAAGATTCGATTGGGAAAGACGAGAGAGCCGAAAGCTATTCTAAAAAAAAAAGGGTTGATACTGTGAGAGCCCAAAATTTTCGGGCATTGTATTTAGCCTTTCGGGGATGCTGTTTCGCTTCATTTTCGCAAGGGATGTGTCTTCCTTTACCAGAACAAACTTTTTTCATTTCATACTTTTTTTTTTAAATTTTTTTTGTGAATTTCTTTCGTGAAAAAGAACATTCTAAAAGCAATTGATAATTTGTTTAAAATGGTATTTTAAATTTTAATACAACATAAAAAAAATCATTACATTAACTATCAACCATTGCTTTTTATGTTGAAAGCTTTTGATAATAAAATTTTGATACGATTTCAAGGCAAAATCTTTACATGAAGATTTTGTTACAAATTTTCCTTTTCACTATGAAAAAAAATAATTCTTTTGATTGGTCCAATTACAAGCCCCAAATCCCAGCATTATTGGTCCAATTACAAGCCCAAAAGCCAAGAAAACCATTAGATCCTTGGTCCATTTCGATTATATACCTCCTCTTCCCTCATTCAATGAGAAAATGAGTCTCCCAACTTCATTTCTTTCACTTCTTTCTTTCTTGCCCATTTTTTCCCCTTTTCGCTTAAAAAGTTCTTCAATTGTAGAAATTAGTTTGGATTCTCATGCATATCACCATTAATGACCAAAATTAATGTTGATGGAAAGGATCATGAGATCATCTTTCCCTAAATTAACTCTATTTCCTCCGATTGCAAACCATCCATTTTTGGATAAGATGTTACTATCCTAGCCAATCATGAATCAACCAAAAGGATAGATTTCATGTATTCAAGACATTTCCAACTTGACAAAGCTCGGTCGACTATAATCGGAAAATTCCGTTAAAAAACAAAAAAGGGTTCATGCTGACTTTCAAGTTTCAAACTTGGCAAAAGATAATGATTCCTCACCGACGCTCAAGCGTTGTGCGGCCACGGCCTTCATAGTCACAATTTAAGATTCATTCAGATAGACGATGAAATTAAAATTAACGAAAAAAATAAAAATAAAATTAATGATAATATATGTATTTAGATATAAAAATAATAATAACAGTAAAATAAATTATAATAAGAAATAAAATAATTATTAATGATATTAAATTAAAATTTATATATAATAAAATTTTAAATTATTTAATTTTTATAAAATTAATAAATAATTAAATTATTTATTAAATTATTTATATGTTAAATAATAATTTATTAATAAATAATTTTATCTTGAAAGAAATCATTTCTTAACTTTTAAATAAAAATAAAATAAAATAAACAAAAAAAAGGTTAAAATTTGAAAAAACTTAACAACTGAGTTCTACAATTTTTTACTGGAACTATAAAGGTCTAGCGTGTAACTGGTGCTGTAGTGCGATGAAGCATTGAAAAGTTATCATCCAATCACAATAATGGTGCGATTTGCGGCTGTAATCGTGCTTCACTGAAACTGTTTCTAAATCCAAATGAAGCCTTAGTTTTAGAGATCATAGCCAATAAATGAAAATGTATTTAATAATTGAAAATAAAAAATGAATGAAAAAATGAAAAAAAAATTTATTAATTGTGAAAATAAAAATATATATTTTTTATATTTTACAAGTTATTATATTTAAATATTTTTAATATCATTAATTAATAAATATATATTATTATATTTATAATAAGATATCATTAATAGTAATATCATTGAGTATTTTATTTATTTTGCATTAAAAATATAATTTTTATTTTCGTTTATCAAATCCATATTTAAAAAATAAAAAATAGAAAATAAAACTATTTTCTTAAAAATGAAAATAGAAAATATAAATATAAAACATTTTTTCAAACCAAACATTTTTTAGAATACTTACAGTTATTCTCAAAAAAAAAAAAAATTAATACTTACCGTTACAGTCGTGCAATTATAAAATATTAAACTTTTAATTTTATTAATTGAAATTTAAATTTTAATAATTTTAAACATAAAAACACTTAATACTTATAAGTATAAAATTATAGTAATCATACAATAATTAAAAATAAAAAAAAATCTATCAACTGAATTTTGGATTAACTAACAAATTATTAGAGTCACACTCAAATATTATGAATTTAAAAAAAATTTATTCACATAATTTTTTTTCAACCAAAATAAGTATTAATATAAAAAATTTAAAAATAAATTAAAATTTTCAAATAAAAAAACAAAATAAAACGAAAAACACAGCCAAAACCTATCAAAAGAAGTAATGCATCCAAATTAATCCTATGCGCCTAAATTTTACTTCTTTTAAAGTTTAAATTTAGTTAATAATATTTTAGTCAATGTAATTTGAAAGCAAAAAAATTTAGTCAAGTTAAAGTTTATATTTGTCTTAATTTTTCCCTTATATCTTTCTATATTTTTTTTGGCCAAGTCTATCCTCTTATTTTAACGATTTTTACGTCAATATAAATTATCTAAATTATAATCTTACCGTATCAGTAATTTTTTTTTTCCTAGAGTAGGGACCAATTAATTTTTTTTTATTAAAAAGCCTTTTCTTCTATAGGAGAAAAAAATCTTTTTCTTTTTTTGAAGTGACTGAGTGTGACATAGGTAACGTGACAACACAAATACGCAGCGTTTAAAAAAAAGGAAAAAAAAAAAAAAAGGTTGATACTACAAAGATAGACGCGGAAGAAACGCATATACGAAGGTATTAGACGCGGTGAGGGCTGTTGGAAGGCCCTTTCTTTTGGTTTCAGAGAAAAAGCAGTCATCAAAGCTATAATGAGACTGAAGAAGTAAAAGTGTAATTTTTTTTTCTTCTAAATTCCAAAATCTCCACCATGAACAACAACGAAAACAAAAGCAACAATCCCGACCTCGATCGCCCTGTCCGTGTCTACGCCGATGGGATCTACGATCTCTTCCATTTCGGCCACGCTCGCTCCCTTGAACAAGCCAAGAAATCGTACGTTTTCCTCCCTTCTCTCCATTTGTTTCTTTTTCCCCTATCTTTGATCTGCATGCTTTTCTGGGTATCTTTGGAAATTCCCGGTGATTAATTGGTTTCTTTCAAAATTCTTTTGTGTGGGTTATTTTTTGATCTGTCTAATTTTTCTGCGTTTTTGATATTTGAAGTTGTTGTGAATTTTATTTCATGTGTGAGATATTTGTTTGTTTGTATCCGAAATATTTTACTTGATGTTGCTTACACGAAACTGCTTCCTTGGACTTTTTTGATTATATATGTGATTGAAATTTGTAAAATTGTAGGTTTCCCAATACGTATTTGCTGGTTGGATGTTGCAATGATGAAATAACCCACAAGTACAAGGGCAAAACTGTTATGACCGAAGCAGAGCGTTATGAATCCCTTCGCCACTGCAAGTATTACTTCTTTCTATAACCTATTCAAGTTATTGTCCTATGAGAATATTGAAGGGAAAAAAAATTCACTTGGGATGCTCATTTGAGGTATAGTTTGGTTGTTACTTTTGCTATTTGGCGTTTGCTTTTGAAAGTGGAAAGCAAAATGTGCATTTGGAAGCAAAAGGAAATAGTAAATTTGAAGAATTAAGAATTGATAAATTTTTTTGGATAATGCATAGCTTTACTTTTGTATAGAATAATTAGGTTAGAACTGATGTTTTGTTATTTTTTCATTTTTAATCAATTATAAATTTGATTTTTAGGAAGTAAATCTAAGTAGTAAAAAGCAAGTAGCAAAAGCCGCAACCAAATGGAACCTCAGTTATAAATCTAATTGATTTTTTCTTTCTTTGAAGGAAACAGCCGTCACATCTTTTTACAAGATCTTTCATTTTTAATTATAAATTTGAGTGAATTAACTTAACTTTATCCCTATTAAGAGGTCTTTGTTATTCATTTGTTACAGGTGGGTTGATGAAGTCATTCCTGATGCACCATGGGTGATCAATCAAGAATTTCTAGATAAACACAAAATTGACTTTGTGGCTCATGATTCACTTCCGTAAGGATAGACAATTCTTGCTCTGATACTAATTTATTAATGGTGAATGCTGCATTATTAAGAAAGATAAATATATAAATAGAAGACTAATGTATTTGTTTTACTTTTCCCATTTCTTTTTAGTCCTTGCTCCTGTAAAAATTATAGCCCCTTATAAATATATAAATGCCTGTCATTCAGCTATTCATGTAGTCTTTGAACTTTTTACAGCTATGCTGATGCCAGTGGAGCTGGGAAAGATGTGTATGAGTTTGTAAGTTTATTAAGGCAGTAGTTCACAGTTATTGCATTTGGTGATTTTTTCAATTTTGTTTTATATTAAGCAAGCTCTTGTTATCAGGTTAAAGCTGCAGGGAAGTTCAAGGAAACAAAACGAACTGAAGGGATTTCTACATCGGATATCATAATGAGAATTGTTAAAGATTATAACCAGTATGTGATGCGTAACTTGGACCGTGGATATTCAAGGAAAGAACTTGGAGTTAGCTATGTAAAGGTATGATCTCTGTCTTGAATGTCTTGTTTTCATTAATAATGCGTCTTTGTTGATATTCCCATTAATATCAACAGGAGAAGAGATTGAGAGTGAACATGAGACTGAAGAAACTACATGAAAAAGTAAAGGAACACCAAGAAAAAGTGGGAGAAAAGGTATGTCCACTCTATGCCTTGACTATCTATTTTAACGATCTGTCCCTCCTCTGTTCAGCTCACATCTCTAATGCTTTATGATTGGGATCTAGTATGTTATTGGAAGGTAATATGCACACCTTTTAGCTTTTTGTAGGGTGATGAAAGTATTTGAAGTTCTTTTTGTCTCAGTTCTTCTGGACTTTTCTCTTACCATGAAGCTTTCAGCATATTTATCACACATTTCTTTTTAAATTGCCTAGTTATGTGGAGCATGTGCATAAATAATATGATGACTTGAAGTTATAAACATTTCTTGGAGAAATAACCGAGGAGTAGCAAAATTAGCTTGGTCCTAGTGTTGTCAACTTGTCATTGATGTTATCATGCAAAATTTGATTTGTGGATGTGTGGTATGTGTTTGTATGACGAAAGTCTAAACTCCATGAATTTACTCTAGTAAAACTTTGAAGGAGCTGTATTTAGGAAAGTCTCCTACTGAAATTGAGGAATAATTTGTTTGAGGGGTTTCATGAGTTTGATTCAGCTTGATTCATTGCAGTATTATAAGATCATATTATCCTTAGATACATTGCTCTTCTTGTAACATCAGTATGTAGATTGAAGTACCTCCATAGCTAAGTAATCTAATATTGACTTTATTTGTGCTTTTCTTTAGCCTTTTACATTTCCATTAATTAGACTGTGCAGACTCCTTGCATGTTTATGTTAACTTGAAGAGCCTTGTGACCCTTCAGTAGACATCTGTATGTCACATACCATCCCCTTCCACCACCTTGTCACCACACCCAATCCTTCCCCAACTCATCAACCCACATTTTCCCTAAACCTTGCCCTGCTTCCAAAAGTTAATAACTAATTACATAAACCCACACACACGTACACATACATGATTACAAACACCCAAAAACCAGTCATTTACCTTAGAAAAAACTGGGTCTAGTTGGAAGCCAGCTTTAGAACTGTTCAAATCCAGGTTCTGTGGTAGGTTAGTACAATGGTCGGCAGTGTTGAAATTCTAAAAGCTGGATTACCTTATGATTTTATTTGGTCAATTCTGCATGACTGTGTGGTTGAAGAACATAGCTGTAAGACCCAAAATATAAGGAGATCTAGTGCCTTTAGATGATAGTATGACATATTAATGACAGGGTTATGTTCTGCAGTTTAAATCCAATTTCTTCACTTTCATTGGTTGATCATATTGGTCTACATTTAAATCCTAGTATTTTATCTGCCAATATACCTTGGGTTTATAGTGATAGATGGTTACCTTTTGTTCAAGCCAATGGGCTTTTCATATGTACCAAAAATAAATAACATATATCTGAATAAGGAACTTAGAGTTTGATACCAACTCCCAGTTCCACCTCCATCCCCTGGATCTATTTCCCCAGAAAGGGTCACTAAAGTTATGGAATATGAGATTAACTTTTTCCAGCAATAAGATTATATCGCAGTTGTATGATTTTGTGAGTAATAAGAACCAAATGGGCTCCATTCGGTGAGATTCATAATTTAGGTTTTGTTTTACCTAGTGCTTCAGTTTGTTAACTTTATATGTTTTATTTTGTGTATATATGTTTATATTTATGCATGCTGCATGCATATATGTGTATACTATGTACATACTTAGGTTGCCAATTGCCAGTTACTATCTGCCCTGGATCTGGAGTGCTTTTTCAGTTCACGGTTATTTGTTTATTGTTAACATCCGCTTTTCTGTTATTCGTACCTTTATCAGAAGCTTATTGTAATTCACTAATCTTACCCGAATATACTTGCAGATACAAACTGTTGCTATGCATCGTGATGAGTGGGTGGAAAATGCTGACCGCTGGGTAGCCGGATTTCTTGAGATGTTTGAGGAAGGTTTTCACAAAATGGTGAGCAAATCTAATAATGTATGCATATTGAAATTACAAGTGCATGCATGTAAAAATTTCATGAATATAATTGACAACCATGTTGCCCTCACTTGAGAACTTTGGTTGCCGTTCAGGGCACTGCAATCAGAGATCGAATCCAGGAGCGGTTGAGGGGCCAGCAATCAGGGGATTCCACATATCTTTTGCAAAATTGCAAGAGTGATGAAGATGAAGAATATTATTATGATGAAGAAGAATATTATTATGATGACGATGATTATGATGATGATGAAGAATACTACGATGATGACGGATATTATGATGAGAAAGACGAGAAAAATGGAAAAGAAAAGAAAGCTGAGAAAGAAAAGAAATAAATTTGCTTCTGCATGCTTTCAGGTTCTGGTTTACTACTTATGGGGTACCTTAAAGTGCTACATAGTTGCTGTGGAATGTGTGAATTGTTGATGCTATAAGTAAATCGAGCCAGGCTTTGAGCAGAAAGCTTTTTCTTTTGTAATTTGTTTATCCAGTCTCTGTGTTAGGCAGAATACATGTCTCCAAGTCATACCTGAAAATGCTGTTCCCGTTGGTGGTTCTGTTTGCTAAAATTTTCGCCCTTATTATTTTAAGTTTGGTAAGATGCAAGGGCTTGTACAACTTTTCACATGTAGGATATATATAAGGGTTCTTTTTTTTTTAAATTACATCTAGAACTAAGCCATATACAGACATATTTTACTTCATTGAGATGTTATCATCTCTTTATTTTAGGTATTGTATGTCATGTTTGGTTGGGTGGAATAGTCGTTGCATTACAGCCATATTTTGTCGGGTGGTTATTCTACCGTTTGGTTTACCTTTTAGCAAAAAAATAGTGATTCCATGGAATGATCTATTCTTTGAGAATAGGGAATAGTCATTTCCGACCGTATGTGAATGGCAATTCTTTTGCTTCATTAGGAATAGAGAACAGTGTTTGTTGGACAATTTACCCTCCTCCCGCTAGATTTCTCTCGTGTTTCACAGTTCCTCGCGAAGGCAAAGTATTGGCCGCTCTGCCATAAATATTGTGAAATTATATTAGTATAATCGGTTTTCTTCTAGGAAATTGCCAGTTATTCCAGAGTAACGTCTGGCCCGGACTTGAGCATTTGTGACTTGTCAATTGGTTTTTTTTTTTTTTAATAAAGATTGTTAGGGTTTGATTTTTAATCATTGAAATTTAACATTTTATCAATAATTGTTAGTATTGGTTTCTTTCTTTCAAGTAATTTTCTTATATATTACAATATTCATGTAAAATATATGGTTCTATTTTTAAATAAATAAGAGACTTCAGTTTGAAGTTCCCTTCATTAGAAATTAAAAGTTAGGAAGATCCCACTAGAAAAAATAAAGGATGGCTGGAATCTACAAATGGATTTTTTTTTTTTTTTTTGCAATTGTGTTAAACTGTTTACATGAAAAACTGCCTGTACCACTATTATGGGATATAATTTTATCCTAATCAACCGACTTTATCGAAAAACATTACTTTTTTGGGGCCAAGAGATTGATAGCGTGATCTTGAATCAACCTATTGTTCTTCTGGCATGTCTCAGCATAAAGAATGCTACCAAAGATCTGTATTTGTTTATAAACTCTCCCGGGCAGATGGGGAATACCGGGAGTAGCAATTTATGATACTATGCAACTTGTGCAATCAGATGTGCATACAATATGCATGGGATTGGCCACTTCAATGGGATCTTTTCTCCTGACTAGAGGAGAAATTATCAAGCATTCCCTCACGTTTGGCGCTAATGAGTTTTTTTTTTTTTTAATGAAAAGAAAAAAAAATATCTTCACATAAAATTTTAATTAGTAAGTAACAGTAAAATAACACTTTGTACTTGATATGAAATTTTTTTGTTTTTTAAATAAAAATTAAATTATATATCGAAAGAGTAATATGAGAGAGAGGCATTTTTAATTTTATCTTTGCTGTCGTGGGCCCATCTCAGCTCCACAAATTATTATTTTTTATCTAAGTTTTAATATTTTAGAAATAAGAGATGAATTTTATAAGATGAAATAATAACATAGCCTAAGATCCCATAACCTCCGCATGTTGCAATATATATATTAATTAGAACATTATCCCTTTATTAAAAAAATCAGCTTATAATATCCATTTTTTTACTTAAAAAATATAATAATTATTATTTATGAAAAAGTGATAAAATAATGAAATGGAAAATAAAAAAATAGTAAAAATAACAATAAAATGAAACGTTAAATGATGTCTAGCTAGGTAGTATGTAAATAAACCTACTCTTTAGTTACCTAGATTTGACTTGTCCACTAGCTCAAGTTCAAACATATATTTTTTTTGAAACAACTCAATTTCAAACTCTTGAATGCTTAGGCTCCTGCACTTCTAACTTTTTGAATTAATTTAATGGAAATATATAATATATAATCGAGGAATGTAAACTTATATTAGTATAAGTTTTATATTTTTTAAAATTTTTAGAATAAAATTATTAAATTTTAAAATATTATTTTAATTCAAATAAATTTTAATTTTAATTTTAATTCAAAATTTTTTTTAAAATAAAAATTATAAAAAAATGACTTATTATTTTTTTTGAACTTTTAGTTTATAGGATTTTGTGTATTAGCAATAGGGTAGGGTCTAACCCGTCTCCGACGGGTTTCGACTTGACTTGACCTTATGAGGTCGGAGTTTTTTTTTAAATTCAAGTTTTTGATCGGGTCGAAACGGGTAAGGTTATGAAATAATCGAGATTCGGTTTTAAGCAAACTCAATCTGACCTGATATCATATAAAAAATATTTTTTAATTAATTAATTATTTATATTTATATAATGATATTTTTAAATATTTATATTTAAAAAATAATATTTTATATTTTTAAAAAATATATTTTATTAATTTTACGATCGAATCAAATCGAATATGATTTATATAATATCAAATCGAGATCATATTCAAATATAAAAAAATAAAAAAAATTTCAAATAAAATTAAATTTAAATTTAATAACATATAAAATTAAATCAAATTAAAAATAAATAAAATTCACCTCAAACTTGATCGATGTCAACCCAATATGTAGAGAAAAGAAGAGCAAGGAGAGTGGGTTTAACGGAATGATGTTATGGCAGCAGAACGATGAAATGCCGGCAGATTCGTTAAAAAAAGCAAAGATCATTTTGCACAGCTTGAAAGAAATGAACAACTTCCGACCAACGCATGATAAAATATTTTTATATTATTTTTGAGCGTTAAATAGAATTGACATATGATTTGATTTTGTTCAAGTGAACCAAAGCTTTTTCTTCGTCAATGTAACATCAATCAATAACTTTTTGAGAATCATGTTTTGATTTTTTTGGGAAAAAAAATTTATTTTTAATAAATAAAAAATAAAAAAAAATTTTAATCATCAAAAATCTGGTTTCAAGTAGAGCTCTCATTCTCTTTATTTATATTAAAATTTTATTCTCATGATATAATAAAAAATATATATTTTAAAAAATTTAAATTTGAATTTAAAAAAAAAAGAATTGTATTCGATAAAAAGAATAAAAATTTTAAATCATTAATTACAATAGAGGAAGATAAAGAAAAAAAGAAAAAAAATGGATGGGCTAATTTTTTTGTGTACTATAAGTGTAGAAAAGGAAAAATAGGATGAAAAAATTTTACCTTTTTCTAGAAGGAAATGAAGAGATAGATGCCTTAGAAGGAATGCTATATTAGGCGTTTACTTTTGCAAATTAGAATACCATCTTCTTGCCACAATTTTTTTTAAGAAAATCTCAAAAAGAATATCAACATTTTGTTTGGTTTAACCAATTGAAGCTTGGCGTGGACAATGGGAAAGCTTTAAACTTTCTTTTTAATGATAGTTATGTCGACATTCTTTCGACACCTCTAAGCTGTTCTCACTGTCTTAACGATTATCTATAAAATTTGCAAATATTAACAATTTAGGAAATCCTTAAAAATAATTACAACTAATGTAATGACAATTGACAGATGCAATGCCACAACGTGTATAATCCATGCCCAAGTCATCATATTCCTTTTTAATTTAAAATTATTAAAATTAAACTTTTAATTTCTGTGTAATACGAATCATGGGGCCAGATTCATTTCCGAACGCTTTAGGTAGTTTCCCCTATATAAACAACACTTTCTTACTCTCTCTTCTAGACTTTTTTTTTCTTTACTTCTGATCAATTGGATTCAGTTTTCTGTTCCAGCCATGGTCAACTTTAAACAAGCTCAGCTCTTGACATTTCTTGTCTGCTTTTTCATCCTACTTCCTTCACTAGTACGAGGAGAATGCAAGTGTGAACCTGAAGATGAAGAACGGAATAAGCCTTTGGCGCTCAGATACAAGATGGCTGCTATAGCTTCGATTCTTGTTGCTGGAGCTATTGGGGTTTGCTTTCCCATGCTTGGGAAAACTATCGAGGCTTTACGTCCTGAAAAGAATGTTTTCTTCATGATCAAAGCCTTTGCAGCCGGTGTGATATTGTCGACAGGGTTTATCCATGTTCTTCCCGATGCTACTGACAACTTGACATCTCCTTGCCTCAATGAAAACCCTTGGGGGAAGTTTCCTTTCGCTGGATTGGTGGCGATGGCCTCTGCGATTGCTACATTGATGGTTGATGCGTTTGCCACTTCTCATTACACCAAGTCCCACTTCAATAAGTCCCAACCAAGTGACCGTATTGATGAAGAGAAAACCGGGGAACATGAACATCACGTACATGTTCATACTCATGCTACTCATGGCCATGCTCATGGTTCGGTTTCTATGCTTGAGCATTCAGCTTCAACTGAACTTCTCCGACATCGAGTAGTGTCTCAGGTAAATTTTATCAGAATTAAACATGTTTAAACTGTAAACCCTTTATTGGGGGCAACTGGTGGAAGTAAAATTTGAAAATCCTTTATCTTTGGCTTAAGATTTAAAATTGGTTTGATCAAATTTCAATATCATGAAAAATAATCTGATGTTATACATGTTTTGAAGGTTTTGGAGTTGGGAATAGTGGTGCACTCGGTGATAATAGGGATATCTTTGGGTGCTTCGGAAAGTCCAAAGACTATAAGGCCACTGGTGGCTGCACTCACCTTTCATCAGTTTTTTGAGGGCATGGGACTTGGTGGATGCATTTCACAGGTAATATATATTAATCCGATCTCTTTTTTTTTTTTTTAACAATTTACGTGCTTATGAATCTCCCCTGAATCTCCAAGAATGTTACTTCCTGTCTTCTTCCTCTGAGCCTGAGGTATTTTCAATGAGTAATAACTGATAATAAAAAAAAAGTCTTTTTTTTTTGGAGTGGTGAAGGATTATTGAACTTCGCCCGGTACATCCTTTCCAAACCAGTCCAAGAAAACTTATCCAAAGAAAAGAAAACTTAAGTCTTTCCTCGACTAGCAGTATTATTTAGTAAAGCAGACAAAAAAAAGGGTGGGCGTATGGTTGGAGTTTGTTTTAATTAGCATTTTCAATGTTTTTGCAGGCAAAATTCAAGTTTCGAGCTGTTGCAATAATGGCGCTGTTTTTCTCTCTGACAACCCCAGTAGGAATTGCTATTGGAATAGGAATATCGAATACATACAATGAGAATAGCCCAACTGCTCTTATTGTTGAAGGGATATTCAACGCAGCATCAGCTGGGATCTTAATATATATGGCGCTCGTCGATCTTCTTGCAGCTGATTTCATGAACCCAAAGTTGCAAAACAATGGAATACTTCAAGTGGGAGCCAGTGTTTCTCTTCTTCTTGGGGCTGCTCTGATGTCTCTACTGGCTATTTGGGCTTAAATTTTTTTTTTTTTTTGACCTCTTTAGTTTTGCCTTGTGGAAGTTTAGATTCCATATCAAGTCATATTCTCTCTTGGTCTCAAATTATTTGGGTGTTATAGATTTTTATGAAATAAAAAAAAATTAATATATTTAATATTAATTTTTAATTTTTTTATAAAATTAAAGTTTTATGATTTTTATATCAAAAAATAAAAAAAATTTAAATATAAAATAAGAGTTTTAAATATTTAAAAAATAACATAATTTTGAGATATTTAAAAAAAAAAGACAAAATAAAAAAAAGACGGAAGTATGAATTAGATGCACCAATTGCTTGAGATGGTCAACTTTTTCCTGGCAGTTGCTTCACCATGCGAAAGTTCTCATCAATATCTACCTCACTTGATAGCTTGAAACGTATGGAGGCTGGCAATCCTTAAAATTCTCGATGAATTGACACTAGTAATGGAAATTTCAAACCGTGTTGTTATTTTCCACATTACGACACCTACGCAATTCCAATTATTCAAATAGAGGAAAAATACCCAAAATCTCTTTGATCACACCATCTCTAATTTCGATTTTTGAAATGCAATTCCTTAAGCAAAATCCTAAATATCCGTGCATATGTCTTAGTAGATGATCATAGCATTTTATATGCAATTTTGTAAAAAAAAAAAAAAAGTTTTACTGAATAATTTATATCGTTATTTTTAAAAAAATAATATTTAATAAATTTAAAATTTAAATATCAATATCTGTAATTTTTTTTCAAATTATAATTTTTTTTATAAAAAAGAACAATGAAAATAAAATATCAATTATTGATTCATTATTATGGGTCTCATAAAAATTATAATCAATAAAAATAAAAAAATTTTAATGATAATAAGATATTTTTATTTAAATAAAATAGTAGATACTATTAAATCAATCATTTTCATATGAAAGATATTTTTATATAAATTATATGATTTTCCAATTTAAGCTTGGTGTGGACGTAAAGAAAGCTTAATTTGAACGCTCTAATTGTTAGTTGTTTTCATGTCGACATTCTTTCAACATTCTAACTCAACAAAGACTTTCATACAAAAAAAATATATATATATATATATATTATTAATGATGTCTAAAATTAAAAAATTGTTTTTAATTCCTAAATCTAGAGGTCTTTTTAAATGAGAGAAATAATCAAACAAACTAATAATAAAAATTTTAAATTTTATAAGTAAGATTAAGACAATAACATATATCTTTTTGGTTACGTTTAGAGAATAAAATGATGGATATAATAAAATGATAATTATTTTATATTATATTTGATTTATATCTAAAAAAAGGAATAAGATTATAAAGAAGATTAATCATTATTTTGATATAAAATAATTCAATTCTCTTAAAGTAAAGAAGATTATTTTTAATTTATGGAATTAAACTTATATATTATATTATATTTTTAAAAATTATATAAATAATTTAAATTGTATAAGTTTTGAGAAAAAATAATTTTGACCAATAAATAAATTATCTTATTTTAATATTTGTATATCAAATATAAGATAAAATGATATTATTTAATTTAATCATAACTATAATATTATTTAATCCTATTTTATCATAATTTTATATACCAAACATATCTTTAATGTATATTTAAAAAAATAAAAAATTTAATTTAAAAAAAGTAAAATATATATCATCATTTTCACCCTACTTATGAAATTAAAAAATTTTATAACCAATATATCAAATAATTTTTATTTAAAATTATATGAAATTAATTAAATTTTATATAAAATTCACACTTATAAATGATGAATTTTTATATAAATTTTTAATTATAATTAAATAATCATAAAATTATAATAAAAAACTACAAGTAATGCATTGGGTGGAGAGGCAGTGCTCTTTCATAATTTCTTTGAAGGCGTGGGACTTGGGATGCATTCCTAAGGTAATTTGCTAATCCCATGCTTTGCAAAATTTAGATAACATGAATTTAAAGGCAAAATTTTCCACTCTATCCTATGATTGACATCCATGTAAAATATCATTTTCAAACAATTATTAGTGACAAGAAATCAAATCCAAAACAACTTTGTTGTACATAACCTAAAGCAGTACTAGCTAGTTTATAGTTCTGAAGCTGTCAAATTGACATTCCTACGGGTTTTTGAGTGTTCCAATGTGGCTTGCCCTTTGAGAAAGGGGAAGTCATCATGCATGCATGGCATTCATGAATCATGAGCTTATGGACAACGTACTAATTTTTCAAGTGATGTTGTGCATGACATCGTCGATAAAACGACATAACGTGGAGTGAGAAGATCCACCGTCCATCAAAGCCTTCCTACTCTTTTCACTCATCTCCTTTACCCTCCTCCGAACATCAGTATCCTGCTCCATCAAACACCTAATTCCTCTCTCTATCTTTTCGGCTCTCACGATTTCAACCGCATCGTTCCCCAAACTATCTTTACTATGATCCATTTTAATCTCCACCGCTAACCCTAACTCCGTCACCAATTCAAACGCGTTCAGATGTTGCTCCGAGTAAAGCGGCCACGTGGCGATGGGTACTCCGAACCATAAACTCTCCAGCGTTGAATTCCACCCGCAGTGAGACACGAACCCTCCGATGGCTGGGTGGCCCAGGATTGCCACTTGCGGGGCCCATCCAATGATTTTACCAATCCCAGCCGTTCGATCTAAGAACCCGTCTGGCAACACCTCTGCTACGTTGTCGTAATCTTTTGGAATTGTCATGATATTCCTACCCTTTGCTGGGTCTGGGGGTTGGCGTAGGGACCACAAGAATCGGTGCCCACTCTGCTCCAGCGCGCAGGCAATCTCTCTCACCTGATCCGCACCGAAGCTCCCCATACTCCCGAAGCAGAGAAACACAACCGATGAATACGGTTGTTCATCGAGCCATTTCGTGGTTGTATCAGAATTCTGATGGACCCCACTTGCACTATCTAGATTCAATATGGGTCCCACAGGGTAAACGGGCGGAAGCCTACCATCAGAAAGGGATTCAACCGCATGGGACTCAAGCTCCGAAAATGTATTTACTATTATCCCCTTGACTTCTCTAAGCCCCCTTGCCGCGCTACGGAGCATAGTAGAAAGTTCAGGGTTGAACATCACAGTGGGAAAGAAGTTAGTAGAAACTGGGTTGACAAAGGAGGGTATGATGAACTCAGTGTCCGAGTCTTTTAACTCGACGAAGTCAACGTTCTGCTCGTCATAAAGAGCTTGCACATAAAAATGGAAGCCAAGAAAAGCTGCACCCGACGTGTAAAAAGCATAGCTAGGAACACCGAACTCCTCAGCCAAATCTACCAAACTAGTTAAAAACATGTCGACAACGAACCCGGTAAGTCGGGGTGAGTCGGGAACTGAGCTGGAGAACTGAACTATATTGGTGACGGCTTCTTTAATGAGTGGTCTCGAGTTTTGGACTAAAGTATCTAGTAACTTGGCGGCAGTATCATCATTGTCGGGTCGAGGGAGGATGATGAATTTGATGCGGGTGGAGATAAAGGATGTATTGGCAATAAGAGAGTCGACGTAGGCGGTGATTTTAGAGTCGTACGGTGGCTGGATGATGATAACGGTGATGGAGAGGTTGGGATTGAGATCCACCAAAGGCTTAACCACTTCCACAGTAGACATCAAATGGCCCATTCCAGGCGCTGGGATGAACACTAGCTCTGCCTTCTTCATTGGAACAGAAAAGTTATCGAACAGGGACAGGGCAACAGCGACAATCGATGAAGAGGAAGATAAGACGGTTCTCTTGGTTTTGGGTAGGAAGATGTAGTTATGAAGGCTAATGAATATGGCTAACTATCGAATAAATAAACGATTTATTTTTTTAATTATCGAATTTTAAAATATTATTTATGATAAATTTAATAAACGAATAAAAATTAAATTTGTTAATTGAATTATTGGTGAAACGTTTTATGAGAAGTTGGCCACTTCAAATTCAAATTTTCATGTATTCTTTAAAGTTTTTTTTTTTTTGTTATTTTTAAATATAAATAAATTAAATATAAATGAATTTTATTTGATATCCATAATATAATTCATTTAATTAATAACTTTTAAAATATTATTTATAATCATTTATTAAAATTAATAAACAAATATAAACCAACAAATTCAATTTATTTACTGATTATATCCGAAATCTGTAAGTGAACTTTCTGTTAATTTACGTTCTACTAATAAATCTAGAGTGTTAGCAAGAAACGGAGCTAGAGTGTTAGCAAGAAACGGAGCTAGAGTGTTAGCAAGAAACGGAGTCGTATTTAAGGGTTGGGTCGGATTTATTTTTAATATTAATAATTTATATATTTATTTAAATTTGACTCAATCTAATATTTCAGATTTAAATTTTTTTAATTTAATTCAAATTGAAAAAAATCTCAAATTTATCTATTAAAATTAATTTATATAATAAAAAATTAAATAAAATAAAAAAATAAAAATTTACATATTTTTTTATAATTATAATATTTTAATTATACATTTTATTCAGATCTAATCTCGCAGGGTTTGAGCTTAATTTTTTTTTGTCTAAAATTCAATCTAAAATTTAAATAAGCTTAATAATTTATTTAGATTTTTTAATGAATTTTTTGATCAGATGCCTTAACCAACGGATATAAAGTGGAGTGTGATGTCATTGCTTCGCTGGGGTTTATGGACGTAGTTCTTATCCAATTTCGATTTGTGCTTGCAGCTCAGAAACAAATAGCTTTCCCTGTCCCTCACTTACGACAACCAAGTCCAAGTGTATATATTTCTTCAAACTGAAATTCTATTCTGAAAGTAAGATGGGAGTTACACATTTCGGTTTCTATTTGATTTCATTCTTTCCAAAATTTCCGATTAACGCACAAAACACAAGAACCTATACTAATGTATTTTGTTAACTTACAGAAATGTATCTTTAATTCTAGATGAATTTTAGAGCCTAAATCCTAAATTCAAACCCTAAATCATATATTTTCTTTATTTCACTTTTTATCTATATTTTAATATTCCGAAATTATGCCTTGTTTTATTTTAATATTTAATTCTCTTACTTGTTGTATTTTAGAATTATATTTTATTATTTTTTGACATTAAAAATTTTGATAATTCAATTTTATAAAAAAACTAAAATTTTAATATAAAACACACTAAAATCGATCTTTTCATTTAGAGATAAGCAAATTGACTAGTCTCAGTATTGATAGGAAACATCCGTAATAAAGCAGTTATCCAAGAAGGCAACAGCGTGACGATGCAGATGTAGGGTACTCTTGGTTTTGGTGGGGTCAGGGAGATGTAGTTTTCGAGGCCAGATTGTTAGCGAGTAAAAGAGTGGAGTGTGATGTCATTGCTTTGCTGGGGCTAATGGACGCATTTACATCTGTCATTTCCTACTCAAATTCGAAAAGTTCTGTGTATCCATCCAAATCAGAATTCGACTCGCTATATAAAACAAATAACAACTCAATTTTGTTCGATTCAAATTTAAATTTAAATTCAATTTAAATTCGAATTAATTAAAAATTATACGATATTTGAATTATGCAATTAAGTATTAATTGAGATTAAGGTACTGCAGCTATGATTTTTCTTGACACACTCAAAATGAAGGTAGCATGTGTCAACATGAAATTTCATTGATGGAGGAACGATATAAGTACATTGTTGCACAAACTAAGAAAAAGGTAATGCCTTTCCAGTTTACACTAGTTTTATTTTGTGCAATAATGTACTTAAATTCACTATCACACAGCCTAAGCAATTGTATCAACTAAACAAAGAATTAGTGAACATGAAAGGATAAAAAAAAATTTTTGAATAAAAATATCTTATTGTGATTAATTAAGTTTTTAATCTTTAATTTTGATTTAATTAAACACTTAATTAAATGAAATCTAATCATGTGATAAAATTAAATTAATTAATTTTTGAATTACAGTAAATTGAACTATTGAGGATCTTAGAAAGAGGGAAAGAAAAAATTTTATTTTATTTAATTTTTACATATATTAATTGTGCTATGTTACAAACTTTCATCTATTTTATTGATATTACATAAAATTTTATCTTAATTAATAAAAAAATTAATGATGCTAAATTTTTCATCCTAATAAGGACATAATTAAATCTTATATCTTATATAAAAATATAAAAGCCAAAGTTTTTAGTAAAAAATAAAAATTTTTAATATGAATGATCTATATTATTGATATGTGGATGATCTTGAAAATCCTAGTGTGTCCTATATTTTATTTGAATTATTTTTAAAAAATTAAATTAATTACATTTATTTATTATTATTATTTGTCTCAAATTACTTGCAATTAAATTCATATTAAAAGCAACAAAAACTTTACTTGCCATCATTATAGAGTAATTTTGTGTTCTATTTTTCCAATTATAATATTCAACTTTTAAATTACATTTATGAAAAAAAATATTCACTTTCTAATTATTTTAATTTATGACCCATTTATTTACTCCACTTTTTAAGTTATGTATACACGTTTAATATGTATATATATTGATTTTAAAATGATTAAAAGATGATCATTGACAAAATCAATTAGAATTAATTTTGAAATATATCAAATAAAATAAATTCCGTAACCATTATTACACTAATTTCAAAATTTTTATATTTTCATTTCTCCCAAACAAGTTAAGTACATAATATGTTTGATTATTTTAATTGTCAAGCATAAATTACTCTTAATTTAAAGAAAAATTATTTAATATACTGACATTGAAATCTTTTAATTTCACAAACGAAATTAAGATGGTAACATATGTCTATTATATATTTAAAAAAATTAATTTAAAAAAGAAGTAATATATGTGTTATCATCTAAACCTTGTTTGTGAAATTAAAAAACTCTACCATATATCAAATAATTTCTTTAATTTAAAATATTATCACTAATCTTGATTTGATTCTTAAATTCACTTTAATCAATTAGACATTCAAAAGTTACAAATAATCTCATAATTATTTTTAAGACTCATCTTATAAATAAAAGTATTTTGGGATGATTAAGAAATAAATTGTATCCCTACAATATTTTTTCTTATTGTTGTAATATTCTTTTACTATGCAGTAAACCTAACTTAGGTTTTATTTCTTTTAGTTTGTGATGTTAGATAAAGATGGATTAAATGCACAAAATTATTTTTTGTTTGGTTTTGTATTATTTTGGGCACTGTTTTATTTTATTTTATTTTAGTGTTAAGATCTTTTAGATTAATTCTTCATCATAGTTGTATGATGATTTATTTTTTGAAAAAAAATTCATTTTGAAAAGAAAATTTAAAATTAAGCAAAATTTCTTAAAAATTTAATGTTTTAGATTTCTTGCTAAGTTGTGGCTATTACTATTTGCTTTATTATAGTTTAAATTATACACCAATTTTTATATACTTTTAATTTTTTTTTTTAGTTTTTGTTATGGCATTAATTTATATACCAAAATTCCATTATACTTTACAATGAAATAAAAAAGCAAGTTAGGTGATAAATTATAAAAATATGATCACTTATCATCTATCCTATCATATATATCAAGTACACATTTTATTTTTTATTTTTTGTATGAAGTAAATTTCTATATTTATTTCTTTTATAAGTGATATGATTTATTTTTTGTCATTTGATATTATGTTTTATTGTTTTGATATTATCACTTTCATGATTCAACTTAAAATGGAACTAATTACTATTGAAGTAAATGAAAATTGATGGAAGTAGCTCTTTAGTTTCAATTTTTTGATACATATAATAGGATAAGTATTATAAGGTTTATGGTAAATGATAATTATTTTTACCAAATATTTCAAAAATATAATTTTTTATCCAACATTTTACAATATTATTATATATTTTTTTACAAAATTTTTAAGGGTGTGGATTTAAAAAAAAAAACATTTAGAATGAGTTAAATTGTCTATAATTTAAAAAACATATGATATCATTTGGATTTAAGAAAAGTTAAATTCAAATGCAAACTTTTATTACCTTTAATATATTGAAATATATGATCGGCAAAGAAGAATTAAGTGTGCATAATAAATTATTAGATATATATATATATATATATATATATATTAGGGTTGATATGTTTAATTTTTATGAGAATACTAACAATATATTTTATCATTAAAAAATAATTTTTGTCAAAATTATAAATTTAACATTTCTAGAGATAAAATAAGTTGATGTTTTTATAGTAAATAATATTATAAAATTTAAATAATAATATATATTTAAAAATATCTAATTTTGTGGTTTATCTATCTTTTTTACTTTTGACAGTTTAATTTAGTATTACCTCTTTTGATTATCATATCTCCAAATTGATTTACTTGATAACCTTTGACTTTCGATGATATTATAAATTTAAGCTTGAATTTCGTAAAAGTTTCTAATTATTAGCCCCAAAGAATATATAAATGAAAATTCAATTACAAATTCAAATAAAAAAATTTTTTCTACTCATATATATTTAAAAATTTATATGCATAATCATCTCTCAATCAAATTTTTTATTGATTCTATTTTTATTGCCTTTTATTTTAAAGTGTTTATAGATTAAATAAGCATTATCACTAATTTGAATCTTTTTGGTATAATTACTTCTAATCTATTGTTATTGCTAGTTAACTATTAGTATTTAAAATTTCATTTTATTTTGTTTTAAAATTATTATAAATTAAAATTTTCATCCATGCATGGCACAGTTTAAATTTAGTAAATATATAAAAGTCAAATCTTTTGATAGAAAAAAATTGAGGTATATTATTTTGACATGGCCTTGAGCAATCGTAACGTGTCCTACATTAATTATATTTATTCATATTTATTTCCCTTGAAGTTGACACGAGTTGATTTAATTTCATATAAATTTTAAAATATTTCCATACATTAATTATATTTATTTTCTTTTAAATTTTTAATTGACTTACCTTTTATTTTCAATAAAATATCTTAAATTATAGATATAGTATTTGAAAAAACATAAACATGTTGAAAATTATTTTTAAATGAATTTATTATAATTTATTTCTGAAAATTATGCCTAATTTAAATCCCAATTAACGTAAAACCTCCTTATCTTTTATTATACAAAAAAAAAAAAAAATTCGATTATAAATAGGATATCTTGATGTAATCTAGCAATACTTAAAAGGTTATTCTCCAAATTAATATATTGACTTTAGATCAAAGTAAACCTATCATACTATTATTAATCTGTTTATATTTTCATTTTTCTCATACCTTTTAATATATTGCAATATAATTGTATATTGAATCTCTCTAAAAATTTTATCAAATAATCGTGTTTCATTATTAGTTTTAATTTCTCATGAACCACTTTTTTTTAATTAAGAACTCTACTAAACTACATTCACATTATCCACCTAAAAGTTATTACCACCATTAAACCAACAACTGATTAAAAGTCAATATTTATTAAATATATTTTACAAATATTACCATTATTGTGATTTTTTTTTTTATATATATTTATTGTTTGTTAGGTTAGTTTTTGACCAAAGTTCTTATATGAAATTTCAAAACTAAAATTAATGCAGTTATTGAATAGTCAAATGTAAGCAATTTAATTTGTTTGGAAAGAATAAAAAGAGGATATTCAAAATTAACTTATTTTCTAATTTTAATTTTGAAATTTTGATTTCAAGTATTTATATAAGGTAAATTGAATTGAATTGAAATAAATAAGCTAATAAAAATGAATATGTAAAAGAAAAAAAATTGTTTTATTAAATTTATAATTTGTACACATCTATATAAAAGGTAAGTAAATTAAAAATGTAAAATTAAATAAATAAAATTTATTATAGAAAATATTTTAAAATTTAAATAAAATAAAATCAAAATAATTAAATGCAAGACAAACTGTCTACATGTCAAAAAATAGCCAATTCACATTGGATTTTTGTCCTTTTTAAAAAAAAAAATATTGGCTTTTTTACATTTAAATAAAATATAAAATTACATATCCATACATTACAAGCTTAAAACTAGTGTAAATAAATATTGGTGGAGTTGATTTATTAAAATAAAAAAAATAAAAACTTAAATGATTTTCTAATTATAGTTTAGTGATTTTTTATACCCCTTAGCCATTAGTGAATTCCAAAACAAAAATATATATTTACACAACCAAAATTCCACTACTTAATTATTGTAAGTAATCCATTGTGCCATTTTCTGATCAGTGGAAAATTCATCAAAGGAGTTTATTCATACTCTGAAAATGGAGAAAGCCTAATCCATTTACGGGTATTGATGAGTAAAAGATTTAGTTACCTCTTGGATCAGGCATAACCACTCCCACACATCCCTTTACTGGAAACTTTTCCCTCTTCTATTTAAATAGAAAACAATGGAATGGTTGCCGATGTTCTCAGTTAAATCTTGATTTAAAGGTTAGAACTCGCCACCTGCAAATATTGATGATGGGATCGTAAGAATAGAGCACAACTAATAAATTCTTGATGTTAAAAGTGAGGTTTTATTGACAACGTGCAATATGAAGTGCTACCTATGAAAAATTATACTATATCTCTTTGAGAAGTCTATATGTTTATGCAAAAGGGCAAGAACATAGAGCTACAAATTTTTGAGTCCTGCTTTTTTTTCTTTTAATCAATAGAAAGTGAAGCAAAAAATAAAAAAATGAAGTGAAAACAATGGACAAACAGCAAAAAGCAAAAACATTAACCAGACTTATGAACCGTAATGCTTTTTCCTATCCTAACTATAGGCCCTAAAATTCCGGACATAAACTTAGCTTAATCCACTATGACCCCTTGTTGGCAGGTTTCATATGCTGTACACGAAGGATAAATGAAAATTTCTTTATTGGATACCTCATCCAGCCTGCATATCAGGTAGTTCTTGAAATGGCAACCCACAACGTCCAAATGAATTTTGGTGTTTCTACATCATCCTATATTTTATCTTATTAATCATACCAACTTAGTTGATTCCATTCATAAGAGAAATTCCTCGTTTACAGTCACACATGTCTACATGCCTAAAACTATGTTTACCTTGTTAGATATTCTACTAACACATCCCTTGAGCTCTCCTAAGATTTATTTAGTCGTTTTACACTCCACTCAATTCCCATGCAGTACAATTTTGCATGATTCCTTAACCCTAAATTTGAACAACTGTTGACAACGTTTGCAAAAAGGAGGGAGGGAGGGGGTTATTTTTATCTGCTTTACTTTTGGGGAAGACACTGCATCATTAAAACCCAAAAAAGACAAGAAGAAGAAATGCGCATCAGCATGTAACTTATAAAAGAAGCACTGCATCGCCTTATGGGTGAGACAGTAAAAGTTGCATAAACTAAAAGGAAGATAAGGTATTAGAAAGAAACTTTTCTTCTTTTACAGCTAGGTCTTTTTTTTAATTTAATCTTCTTTTGTTTTTTTTTTTTGGGGGAGGGAGGGGTGCGTGTGGTTTGGGGTGTCTTAAGGAGAGAGAAGTTTTACCAGTTACAAACCTGAAAATGAAGATGAGGCCATTTTCATGATTTGACCAGCTTAGAATCTAAAGCAACTCACTTTCTAATGCTCGAGTTAAACACCAAACACAGTTTCAAGGGGTTTTGCCAGCAGAGATTGACAACCTGCCCAAACAAGCCACTACTGACTTGCTCCAAATCTTAGCCAGATATTAACAAAGCTCCAAAATTTCAAATTGGACAAAGAATCCCACAATGTGTAAGATATCTGCAAAACATTCCCAAAAGAAGTAGCCATACACCAGCCAATCCACTTGTCTGTATCCAGAGCCAAATCATGTACATCCCCCTCTTGTAATCCCATGGTGTCATCATAATACGCAAGTTATGCCCCTCTTCACTCATCAAATTCAGAAAGTCCTAGGAGACAAGAATTATTCAAAGGATTTATAATAATCAACATATTTTCATTTCCTTGGTAGTCCTTCTAACAATTCATATATCTTGTTAGATTGGGGGTGATCTTGATCCTTGGAAGAAAAATAGTTCACACAACCTGCAACCTCAATCCAACTACATCCAACATCCTTTCTCATACCCTTTTCCTTCAGTTCTTTCCTCACTCTGTAAACATTTTTCCAGTTTCCTTCCTCTGCATACATATTTGAGAGCAACACATGATAGCCTATAGTGCTTTTTCCTATATCCATTTGAAGCAACTTCTTGGCCACAACTTCACCCAAGTCAGATTTTTGGTGAAGCCTGCAAGCGGCAAGAAGCGATCCCCAAATCTCCAAGGAATTACACTCTTCACCTAATTGTTTAACAAACTCATAGGCTTCATCCACCCTCCCAATCTTACCTAGCATGTCAGCAACACAACAGTAATGCTCAGTTGAGGGCTGGATGTTAAACTCTCTCTCCATTGACTTAAATATATAAAGGCCCTCATCAACCAACCCAGCATAACCACAAGCTGATAAGACTGCAACAAAGGTGATGGCATCAGGCTGAATGCTAGATGCCTGCATCAAGCGAAACAAAGAGAGAGCTTGCTCACACATCCCATGTTGAGCATAACCCAATATCATTGTGGCATACGTGACAGAATTTTTTTCGGGGATATTAAAAAACATGTTTTCAGCAAGTATGAGGGCACCAGACTTGGAATACATGTCAACTAATGCAGTGCCCACAAAGACATTTGGGTCTGACAAATTACGAACAGAAAACCCATGAAGTTGCTTTCCCAAATCTATATTCCCCATTAGACTACAAGCTGGGAGAACTGATGCCAATGTCACAGCATTGGGCATTACATTTTGCTGAAGCATTTGTCTAATGACAACAATGGCTTCTTCAATCAGCCCATTCTGTGCAAGACCAGCAATCATAGCATTCCATGTGGCTTGATCTCTATTGCTAGAATTGCTATTTTCAAAAAGTAGTTGTGAATTCCTAATCAAGCCAGATTTAGCATACATGTCTATAATATAACTATCCATCCCCTCAAATTGAATGCCACGCCTAAGAAGATAAGCATGGGTCTGTTTTCCAATTTCCCGGTTTCTAAGATTTGATGCTGCTGAAAGGAGAGCAGTTACAGTCACAGAATCAACCAAGAAACCTTGCTTCTGCATCTCATATACAAGTAACAACCCTTCATCATCCAAGCCATTCTGTACAAAAGCAGAAACCATGGTATTCCAAGAAATGACATCTCTTTCAGGCATCTTATCAAAAACTTCAAATGATGTGTTGATTGAATTGCACCTGGAATACATGACAAGTATTGCATTGGCTACAATAACTGGCAATTTGTGTAAATTCTTAATTGTGTAGGCATGTAGCTGATGTGCCAAGTCCAACCGCTGCAACTGTGAAACTGCACTTAATGCTGAGAGAAAAGTAACATCATCAAAAACAGTTTCCGATTCTATAGCTTGAAGAAAAAGCTTAATTCCTTCAACTGGACAATTATTTTGAAGATACCCTCCAATCATAGTGTTCCAAATCTCTATATTTCTCTGCGAGCAACTGTCAAAGATCTTCCTAGCAAAATCAAGACAACCAAGCTCTGCAAAAGCGAATATGGATGAACTGACAACAAACAAGTCACCAACAAATTCACTACCCAGCTTCAGAAGCATCCCATAAAGAACTTCAGCATTATTATAGTCCTCTAAACCGGATAAGGCTGGGAAAACATTAACAAAACTAACTCCACTGAGTCTTTTCCCCGTTTTCATCATATTCCTAAACAGCATAACAGCTTCCAAATATCTCTCCGTCTTCACATACCACGAAATCATAGTATTCCAAGCTACCACGTCTCTCTTACGCATCATATTAAATACTTTACATACCAAATCATGTTTCAAATAATCAAAGCCTTTACTATAACCACCCATTTCCTTATTATCCATAGAACTCAAACAAGTAGCATAAAAATTCAACAAAGCATTATACACAATCCTACTGGGGTTGGTTAAACCCCGAATAAAATGGCAATGAACGGCTTTACCTATGCGAAGATTCCGTGATAGAGTACAAGCTTTGAGCACAGAGGAGTAAGTATAAGAGTCACATTTGGTGTGAGGGAAGGAATTCTTCATGTGGGAATAGAATAAAAGGGCTTCTTGGGGCATGTTGTTGCAAATATAACCAATGATGATAGTGTTCCAAAGAACTGTTGTTGGTTGGGGAATTGTGTCGAAGAGTTGGCGGGCGAGATGTGGTTGACCTTGCTGGCATATTTTGCTGAGGCGGGAACGGATGGTGGGAGTTTTGAGAGTTGGGTTAGGGGGTGGGGAGGAGATGATGAAATGGGAAGGGTTATTGTTAGTGGCTGTAGCGTTGGTTGAAGGTGGGGAGAGTGGTGGAGGGAGAGCAGAGGAGGCCATGGATGATACTGATAAGACTTATGTTCCCCTCCTGTATGTATGCGTTTGCCACTGTTTAGTTGGTTGGTAGTTAGATGACTGCCTAATCTACATATCTTGTTGTCCACTTTCAAATAGGAAATTTCTTTTAGCGATTTTTTAATGATATATAACGTTGTTGTATAAAAGTTTTATATATGTTTTTATTATTCAGATTATTTTATTTTCAAAATTTTTTTTATCAATATGATTTTTTTTTTGAGATATTATATGCATTAATTCTTGCATTTTTTCATCTTATGATAAGAGAAAAAAAAAAAAAAAAAAGAAGTGGATGCGTAGTGGGAGGCTGAGAGCCCTCCCTTCACGTCTGGATTTGCGTTTTATAACTAAACTCTTTAGCCTTTATCGCCTGAAATAAATTTAATAAATAACAGTAATTCATGTTTACTAATTGACAAATTTTTTTTTAAAAAAAATAGTCTGAATCCAATATCTTCTCTGCAATTTTTTCATATGTATCAACAAATTAAATCTTAGTATTAATGGAAAAAATGTTTAATAGTCATTTAAATCTTATAAAAATCAATTAAATTTAAATTTTGTTCCCATGCTTATCAAGGTGTTTCTAGTCTTAAAGAGTTTTAAACGTGTGGTTTTATTGATAGAGTATTAAAATTTGATTTTTGGTAATTTTAAATATAAAAAATTAATTAATTGGTAATTTGTATGTTTATGTTTGAAATATAAGCTTTACAACTTCCTTCCAGCCACAAAATAAGAGGGTCTTCCTCTTGTAATAGTTTTGAGTAGCGGATGGAGTTCATTTTCCTTTGCCAAAATTTTAAGGCAGCAGGAGTTTCATTTTTTTTTTTTTTTTCAGTAGAACTTTTTGGGTAAGTGAGCTTTACCTAGTAAAAATATATTGAGTTTAAGAGTATAATTGAATCGGGTCATGTTGATATAATAAGAAGTTTGAATTTGAGTTTGGCTCTTAACTCGAGATTCGATATTTGATTTGAATTCGATCGAGTTTTATTTTTTTAGTTCGAATTCGATTCGTGATCAAAATCGAGTTATTCGAACTCGCTTGATTAAACTTGATTAATATGTTAAAATAAACTCGATTCTTATACTCGATAAGAGTTTGATTATTTATGCTCGAATTAAAACTCGAATTCGAGATATTTTATTGATTAAAATAATAAAAAAATTTAAATATAAAAATTTGATTAAGCTCGCGAGTTATTCGAACCGGGTATAAAAATATTCAAACTCGGTTTGATCGATAAGTCGAGCTACTCAAATTCGAACTCGACTCGATAATAATCGAATCGAATTCGAATTTTATTCGAATCAAACTCAAATAATTTATGATACTAATATATCATTTACTTTCTTACTTGAACTTGCATGAAAACTTTTTTTTGAATGCGGCTAGCATCTTATCCAAAACGGATGGCTTCAAATTCAAGTACATTGAAAATTTAAGATTTTAATAAAGATTAATTACCATAAACCCTATTATTATTTATATATTATTGTCTTAATCAAATTCAAAAAAAAAAAAATGCATTAATTGTCATATATCAAGCATTGGTTAATATTTTTTTCTATGATGCAATCGAAGATTTTAGAGACTTTAGTTGGACATAACCCTTTTTTTTTTTATATTTTAAGGAAATATATTACCTTACGTTGATATTATGCATTTAAAATTTTACTTAATATTATCAATTTGGATCTAATGATTGATATAGAAGAAAATTCTTCTTACTAATTGGAACCAACATTTTTTTTATTACCGTAAAGAACAAGCGGTTTAATTTAATTATAAAATTATCTTATATGTCAAACATTATTTTTAGTTATGCATCACTGTTAGTGCATGAGTGACACATTCAAATATATAGTTCCTAATTAAATCAATTTCCACAACTTTTTACAACAAATAATGAATTAAAATAATATTAAAAATTATCGTTCATCGTCATTAAGATCGTGGGTTAATGATAAGAAGAAAATCTTAAAATCTTAATATCTCGGACTCAAATTTTATAATATGTGGATTTTATTTTAATTTTATATTAAATTTATCTAATTTATATACTTATTTATTTGTTTGTTTGATTTAATCAAGCGAATTTTTATGAGTGTAATACTTATTATGATTTTACTCTTGACTTCATTAAAAAAAAAAAAAGTACTTACACATATCAATTTTGTGCCAACTATTTCTCTCACATCATGTGATTAAAAATTTATTGAGCTAATTTCAAGCATGTATTTATGTATAGGATATATATCTATGAATTGGTAGATGATATTTGTCCTTGAATGTGTGTGCAATAAATTTATGTCAAATCAGGTGAAATATTTGAAATGCTAAAGTCAAAGGCAATCAGCATGATTCCATTATTACATTAATTTGGAAGATGATGATGTCGAATATGGTCTCTAAATATTGTAGGATAGCAGCCACTGATCTCCATCAATAAAAGACGTATTAAGGAAAAAAGAAGCCTGAGTATCATTCAGCTTTTGAACATAAGGGGCCCTTCCACTCATATCAGCTCCTGCGCCCGTGCAATTGTATTCTCCATAGAATATGGTCCTGTATTAATTTCACAATTAATCACTCTCTAATTTTACGAAATATATATTAGTAATTTGTTAGTATAATAAATTAAATTTAAATAATATTCAAAACCATGTCTTTTTTTTTTTTTTAATTTCATACTGGTCTCGTGTAGGATCCTTGAAGTCATTCCAACCCTCTGGTGCAATAATATCTGTCATGGATGTCAAAGCAAAAACCACACGCGAGAATGGCCTCCATGCTCGACCTAGCCATATTCTCCCCGTGCCTCCTATGGTACAATTCACGAAAGCAAAGCCGGTGATCTCATCGCTGGAAGCTCTTCCATGTGCTGTCACAGCTCCATTTATGTTTTTTGATCCAGGAGCAACGGGGTTAGCTATGGAAATCAACTGGCATTTCTGTTCCAAATGTGTTTATACAGATTTGTTAATTTAGCAGGGTGAGTACTGCCTCTGGACTGGACTGGATATCCATATAATATGCTACAGATTGCTTGGTAGTAAACATTACCTCATATAGAGACTTTCCATCCCCAAAAATGAAGTCGATTGAGCCTTGTATATAGCAATCCTTGAAGTAATGGCGACCTCGGTCGTCATGAAGTGTGTCTTGAGCTCCGAAGAAGCCACAACCCCAGAAGGCTGCTTGGTCTCCCGCTATTCTAATTGCCACTGCTTGTGCCCCAGCATCACCTGGACGAGGGATAGGAGCTACATTCTACCATATATGGTGAAAATTCGAATATATCAGAAAGTGTAAATCTCATTTCTCGTTTCATTTCTTATATACTTTTCATATATATATATATATATAAATGTTGTTCTTTGTTGAAAGCAATATGTTTTAATATTAATTTACTATCTTAATTGAATTTCAAATGTTATTTAGATTTATTGATGTATATTATGTCTCACCATGAAGCTTATGTTCTTAGCAATAAAGTTGGTGGAGAAAACTTGCACGGAACCGCTATAAGAGGTTCCATTAGCGGAATTGGCTGTGTCGTTCCAAGCAATTGCAGTTGATGTATAGCCTTGTCCTTGAAATGTAATGTTGGGTTTGGTTTTTGGAATAATGACTTTCTCACTGGAAAAAGTAAAGACATATATGAATAAATATAGTATTCTGGCTTATGAATATATATGACCACTGAAGAAAAAAAAAAAAAGAGGTAGAACTTAGCAAGGACAGCTGCTCACTAGTAAATGCCTGAATTGATCCATATTATGGTTCTTTTGATGCTGAAGTTTGCAATAGCATCAACGGCTGCTTGCACTGTCGTGAAATTACAACACCCCTTTCTATCAACACAAAGCGTCAATGTTGTGTTGGTTTCCGGAGGTGGAAAGTTTGGTGGGAAATCATCACATATGGATCCTGATTTGCCTTTATCATTGTGTTTATGATGTCGATGTAGGCAGTCAAATTTGCACGGAAAGAATGTTGCAATGATAGATGATGATGATGAAGTGGTTAGACTAAAATCAACAAGATATTTGAGGAATTGAGGGCTTGGATTGATGAGAACTGTGGATGCAAAAACAGAACAATGGCAACAAGAACAGTGGAAGAAATGGTTTTGGGACTCATTTTTTTTCTTATGGGATGAGGGCAGAGATAAGGGTAGGAGGTATATATTTGAAATGTAGGATGCATAAACATGAACTTGAAGTTTAAGGGTAGATGGCATGTCTTGCAAATCACCCTGTCCTTTGGTAAATTCTTGAGAGAATTTCCAACCTACCAAACATAAGCGATGACCACCAAAATACAGGGAAAAGTTTAGACTTCACTTTATCATGCTCCTGGTCCACTACTGGCCTATTTCTGACCTTGCTGACAAATAAGTCTCCATTTGGACGAACATGAGATTGAAAATAATAATAATAATAATTTATTATTATAAAAACAATAAAAGAAATTATTATATTTGTGATTAAATGAAATTTCAATGAAAAAATTTATAATGAATGATTTTTATTAAAATTAATATTTAAATTCAACTCATATTATAATAAACTCAATTATCGGTATAGTAAAATTCAAACCTAGACTAGATAACCCTAATGATTAAGGTTCAAGGATTTTTTTCAAACTATTTCACCAATTTGTCCATTGGAATTGGTAATTATTTCACATCTCTCTAGAATTCCTCAGTCTCTAGTAATGACTAAAAAATGTCTAAGTAATTCGTTTTTTTCAATTTTTTTGATACTATCAATTTTTTTTTTTAAAAATATGATAATTTAAAATAAAATACGATGATACGATATAAAAATAATATAAATAAATAAAAATATATATATTAAAATTTTAATATAAATTATATATGAATTTAACATAAATATAATATATATTTATTATATATAATTTTCATATAAAAATAAATATATAAATTATTAATATTTTATATTACAAAAATACACAAATTACCGGTTCGAGGTAAATTTAAAAGAAAGAGTAGTATAATTATAAACACATATGTTTATATAGAGTTGAAGAGTTAGCATTTAGCAATTTTATAAGAGAACAAGAGATCAAGCACACCAACCAAACTAAACCGCCAACTACAGCTGCAAAGGGGAAAAGCCAAGCTAATGCTCATCCCCGTTCCGGGAATTGGTCACCTGGGTCCTATTTTAGAGTTCGCAAAGCAGCCGTTTGATCGATGTGATCAATTGTCAGTAACAGTTATTGTCATTCAGGCCATCTTCTATCACTGATTCAGAAGTACACACTCAAACTCTAGCTGCATCATCGGATTCTCGTATACAATTTATCACTCTTCCTCCAGAGCCAGACTATCCTCCTTCACTAGATTTTTTCTCTAAATCACCGGAAAAGTTTTTTACTGCTTTTATAGAGAGCCATAAATCTCATACCAGAGATGCAATAATCTACCATGTTTTGCCTGATTCGACCTCCAATACAGTTTCACTTGTTGGCTTGGTTTTTGTCGGGAGTATATTATATGATGTCAAAAGGTATAGTGATTTTTTTTTTCAAAGCTTTCAACAAATAATTAGAGATATTTTGATCATTTGTGTCGATCTAATATATCAGATCGGTCTGATATGATCAATGATACCTCAACTCAACTCTATCCCAATTGTTTCCTTATGGTTTCCCTTTAGCTTACCTATAAATATAAAAGCTCAGGAACCATGAAGCTAGGTTCATCGCATTCATCTCTCTTTCTCTTTCCTTACTACTTTCTTACTTTTTCTCGACCTAATCTTCATTGATTTGTGTGTCGGAGTGCAAATGCAAAGAATAACTCTTGTCTTTGCCTCTAACCGTCTGTCCCTTCTGCACTCATAAAAATACCCTCAGGTTTGAGCTCGGTACCAACATTTGGTACACCAGGTACACATTTCATATTAATTGAGCATAAAACAATGCTACTAAGAAAAAGAACCTAAGAAGAAGGAGAGGCAGCTGCCCTAACTAAACAAAAAGTCACCTAAGCCAACACTCTGTTCACCTAGCTCAACCACAGGCGGGACCGACCATGGAACAATTTCAAGCCTTGATAGAACAAATACAAGCTCTCAAGCAGATGCTATAAACTATAACCCCGCCACAAGTCTCCAAAGTGCCAAACTTAGTCACATCTTATTGAGAAGCAGTTGTTAGGCAATCGAGCTATGAAGAGACAGAAGCCTCATCGACTTCTAGAGAAAAAGAACACACCAACCCAACTCATTACTGACCCAGCTACAATTTCACATATGCCACAATCCAAAAATCCAAACAAACAGATCATGAACTTTAACCGAATAGAGATTTGAAAGCTCGAATGCAAGCTATGGAAAAAAGTTGAAACAAAAGTAGTGGCATTTAAGGATGAACTCAAGTTCTTGGAGACCTTAACCTTTACTAAAGAGATTGACAAAGCCATGCCTCTCAAAAGATTTAAATGCTAACCTTAGAGATATATGATGGTACTTCTGACCCCTTTGATCATTTGAAACTTTATAGAACTAACATGATGATATAAGGGGCAGACGAGACTCTAATGTGCAAAGGTCTAGCCACTATGTTGAAAAACGAAACTCAAAGTTGGAATAGCAAACTAGAGCCAAGGTCAATCATTACGTTTAAGGAGCTTAGCCACTTATTCCTATCCAAATTTGTGAGCAGCCAAAAAGCTAAGAAAATGACCCTAAGCTAATGTCAATTCACCAAGGGTAGAATGAAACTTTGAAAAGCTATGTCACACATTTTAATGTGAAAGCTTTACAAGTTAAAGACTTGGAACAGATGGTCGCTATTATCGCACTGACTTGTGGATTCAACAAAAAAGAGTACCATTTAAAGTTGATATTATCGTTAGAACCACTTAAAACTTTAGCCGATATCTTGCTAATAGTAAAAAAATATATCAATGCTGAAGTTACAATGAAAATAAATCGAAGTGAGAGAGGCTCATCCCCCTCTTCAATCGTAAAAAAAAGACAAGTAATTCTACGATCCTCCCTCAAAGGGAGATAACATAAGGCTAGAAGTCCTAGTGAAAAAAAAAACTACATTGTACTGAATACCTCCCATAAGAGGATTTTGATGCAAATTGAAAGAAATCTCGACCTCATATGGCCTAAGCCACTGAAACCAAACACAAGGCGAGATTTAACAAAAAAATGTGCTTTCATTAGGACATTGGCCATAATACCGAAGATTGAGTCAACCTAAAAAATGAGATTGAAGCTCTGATAAGGAGATATCAGTTAAAAAGATTTATGAGATAGAGAAGACAAAACCAATTTAAAAGAGACTACAGACATGACCATAGAGCTCCCATTTAGGATAGAAAGAGAAGAGCAAATCAGGAAAGCATGGATGCTTGAGGAGAAGAGCCGAATCAAGAAATAGCCGAGCTGACAATAGTAAGCCAATCACGATGATGATTAACGTGATTATAGGAAATAGCTTTACCTCGATGAAAAGAAAGTTTAACCTGGGAACAATAATGGTAGTAGGTGCTTTGGCTAAAAAAATAAAAGATCAAAAAGATGAGCCAATCTCATTTAGCTCAAAAAATTTGAAGGGAATCCAACACCCACACAATGATGCTATAGTGATCACAACCTTTATGTTCAACTATGTGGTCAAAAAAATTCTATTTGATAATGATAGTTCGACTGACGTTATGTACTACGACTATTTCAAAAAAATAAAGATTGACAAAAATTAGTTAAAGCCGAGCACTACCATATTAATGAGGTTTTGAAATAAGTAGGTGCCCGTAAGAGGAACTATTAAGCTCTCAATTTTCTTAGGGACATAACCGAAGATAATTACCTTGATCGTAGAGTTTATGGTAGTAGATGTCTCATTTTTCTATAACATGATATGAGGTTGACCTAGCCAGTCTATTATGTTGCTTATAGGCTCAACTCCCCATTTGAAAGTGAAATTTCCAACATTTGCAAGGGTTGGAAAAGTTTAAAAAAACCAATCCACGGTATGACAATGTTACATCACAATAATGAAGGGTAGGACTGGGAAATAGACAAGTATCTCGACAATATCAAGATTAAAAGTAAAGAGGAACTTATACAAAAAACTAACAAGAAGCAGGAAACTATTGATAAAAGCAAAAAATGTAAGATCGATTTAAGAGAAGCACGCTCTTAAGTTGTTTTGAGCTCTTAAACTCTTAAAAATTTTAATTTTATTCTAATTTTTAATTTCTTGAGGCAACAGTAGAAATGACTGAGCTTCTAAGTCGGTGCAAAAAAATTTAATGTTACTTGGACCAAGCTAACACACTGGCCAAAAACATAGCATTAAATGAAAAATATACTTCATTTCTACTAATACTTTTAACAAGTTCTTCAATATACTAATCATCATTTCGAGATCTATTTTCGTAGAAAATAATCTCAACCTAATAAAATAAAAAGAGATAATCAATCAAAGATCGAACTCGAATGTACATCGACCTGAGTCGATTGAGGACCTCGTGACAATTTCATTCTAGAACAACATTTCATAAAAATACATGTAGATCGGAGCCAAGCTCTAATATAAAGATAAATTGATTCAGCTTATAAAAGATAATGCTGACCTGTTTGCTTAGACACCATCTGACATGCCCAAAATTGATACTAAAGTGATGGTCCACATACTACACACTAGTTTCGAGGTTAAACCAGTTTGACAAAAAAAAACTTTTATCCCCAAAAGACAGACAACAAGCCATTGAGGAAGAAGTTGACAAATTATTTTGAGCTAACTTTTTCAGGGAGGTCTACTATCCTGAGTGGATAGCCAATGTGATCATGGTAAAAAAGCACAGTGAAAAATAAAGAATGTGTATGGACTTTATCGACCTAAATAAAGCTTATCCAAAAAATAGCTTTCTTTTTCCTAGTATAGATCAGCTAGTAGATGATAGTGTCGAGCATGGCCTCTTCAACTTTATGGATGCTTATTTTGGTTACAATCAGATCAAAATATTGAAAGATGACAAGGATAAAATAACCTTTATTACTGAGAAAGACATTTATTGCTACAAGGTCATGCCCTTTAAATTTAAAAATGCAGGGATGACCTACCAAAGATTGGTGAACAAGATGTTCAAAGAT